AGAATGAGATAATAGTTTTAGAGAGAATAATCTGTGATCAAAGGCATCTAAGGGTGAATGTGGAGAAACTGAGCACTGACTAGGATCAGAAACAAGACATCGAGTAGTGAAGGTAAAAGTCGAGTAGTCAAGGTAATTGATTTATCCGCGAGTTACTTTGTATGCATTGCTTGTGTTTAGTAACCAGAAACTTCTTAATTGTTTGTTACATAATTAGTTTTATTAATTTTAATGATTATAACTTCATTAAAAACGCTTTTTTTTTTGCAAGTCATTGTTTACAAATTAAATAATAAAAAATGCTTTATAAGATTACATTAAGATAAAAAACAGATAAACAAAATTACATTTACATAAAAAATACATACTTTTTAAATAAAAAATAAGACTAATAAAATCTATAATTTATAATAAACTTTCAAAATTTTGACAATTTAAATAATATATATTTAAAACGTTTATTTTTCTAAACAAATAATAATAGTTTATTTTTTGTTTCGTACATAATGTATGAAATAAGTCAATGGGCGGTGATAACATTAGTCTGTTTGTTTTAAAAGCATTTGCCACATCAATGGCAGTTCGATTAACTTAAATTTTTCAAATTTCAATAAAATCTGGAAAGGTTCCATCATCTTGGCTTAGAGTTGATGTGACACTTATTAATAAAAAAGGTAGCAGAACAGATCTAGTCAACTACAGGCCAATATCACTTACTTCTGTTTCATGCAAACTTCTGGAAAAAATAGTTGAACAAGTCGTAATTGATCATTTGGTAAATAACAATTTGCTTTCTAAAACTCAACATGATTTTATTTCAAAAAAGACTTGCATCACAAATCTTTTTGAAACAATAGAATTTTTAACTAAAAGCAAATCAAAGAAAAAACCAGTCAACCTAGTTGTTCATTATTTTGCAAAGGCATTTGATGAAGTTTTTTAGAAGAAAAAAGTTTTTTAGACCAACACTGTATAAATTTCATAATTGGTATGGTGTCAATCTATATAAGTTATGTAAATATACTCATTACGATAACATAACAAAATTATATTTTTGATATACTTGCTACTTAAGCTAAAGATACTGCGTGGTGATTGGTCAAACATAAAAAATTGACCGGAGTCAAAAGGTTAACAACCACAGCTTTATTAGCCAAAATATCATAATAAAATAATAAAGTTATAAAAATTTAAAAGATATAAATTTTCATCATTTTAATATATATATATATTTTTTTTATGAAATTTGAAATTTATTATTTATAAATCTGACTTATATATCAAGGTCACTTACATCTTCAGCAATCCCTACCCACCAAAATCCATCATAAAAACATGCAATATAATCCATTTTTTTAATGTTTAATGAAATCTCTAAATTATGTTTGCTTTTTGGAATGATATCAAATATTTCAGTGCATGTATCAATACTTGTTTTTTTATAGCTTATAGTGTTAGGAGCAATTGGAATAAAATGATGATACATCCTTGTGCCAGGAACAGTTCTTCCACCTGAATATCTTTTTTCTAATTGTAATCGTGTTTGGTCAATTTCTTATTTTGAAAATAACTTAAAACAAATTCCATTTATTTTGGCTTTACAAAAGGAGTACATTAAATTAACATCTAAAATCTGCCCAGTAGTTATTTGTTTCAGACTTTCTTGACACACTACTCTTTTAACAGTCCCACCAATACCATCACAAGGGGATTTACCATGACTTGTAGCAAAAAATACCCATTCAGTATTTAAATCAAAGTCTTTACTGTGATGACAAAGATTGATAAAGTTTTTAAAATTTTTAAATTATGCTGCACAACTATCGGAAAAGTTTCACACTTGATACATCAGGTAGATTTTTTTTGATATATCTAGTTATATCTTCTTGAGTCTTGTAAATAAATCCTGTATCATGGTCAACATCTTCTGAAAGGTAACATTTATGTTTGATTTATGTTTGAGAAGTTTATTCTCTATAAAATAAAGTACAATTATATAAAGTGAACATTGACTTTTGCTCCAGTGATAACTTTGAACCTCATTCAGAACAACATATTGATAATTTTAAGCAAAATCTCCTAAAATTAAGCATTCATTTTGATTGAGATTTTTTTTACAATTTTTTTAAGTATCTACTTTTTGTTTTTGCAATATATGAATGAGTGGTTAGATTGTCAATGCTGTCACATAATAAATCATTAAATTCATCTAGTGGCAATGATTGTAATAGTAGTGTTGTACGATCGGTACTCTGCAATTGCTTGATTGCTACATCTTCTTCAAGCTCATGGTCCATAAACTCCTGTACTTAAATTTTTTTTAATGCTTCAATACCAGGACATTGGTTACATTGATGCAACTTACATTCTGCATTATCAAGAGAGCAAACAATCAATGCCATAAAATCTTTAAAACTTTTATTCCATTGGCATTTTATTCCTTTTATTCCATTGGCAATGGCATCAATGAGAAATTTTGTATTTTGGTGATGTATGCATACACATACATTGTGGGTACCTGATGCATTAGTTGTAATACACCATTTAAGTTTAAGAGTACAAAACTTTGACAAACTGACTTTGACGTCAGGGTAGTCTTTTTTTAAATGCAACATGTAATTCATTTAGATTGAGTAGTAATAATCTTTTTTGAACATGTTGGTTTTTCTTAACACTTATATAATCTTTTTTTCCTGGCATCATTCTTGAAAGTTCGTCACTTTGATAAAAGTTAATCACTAATTTAACTGTTTCTGATGAAAGTGCGCTTCCAGTTTTTTTTTTTCAGGCAATGATAGAGTTCCATGCTCATTTTTAACTTTTCTTGCAGTTCGAGCAAGATACTCAAACACTTCAAAGTAGCTTGATATCTTTGTACATGTCCATGGTTTCCGTGCGAGCGTTAACATTTGCACCTTATGGATACGATAAGAGTCAGTCTCTGAAATTTTTTTTTTTTTATTTCATACATTAAAATGTCTAGATCATGGTCATTGTTAATGTTGTTGTTTTAAATAGGGCTTTTTATTTCTGCTGATAAAGAAGTTTCTTTAGTATTATATGCAAATGAGACCATTTTTGCAACTCTGTCAATAGTATTCTTAAACTTTTGTTTTGCTACAGGCATTTTCCGGTATTTTGAAAGACTTTTTAGTTTGACTGGTGAAATTCCAAGCAATTCTATAGTGGTATTTAACTTAATTTTTTTCTCACTTTTTGATTCCCATTCCTCTTGTGAATTTAAATCTTCTTCAGTTTCTATTGCTTTTTTGTAACATTTACTGCAGAATTTCCGACCTGGGGTTACATAAACGTTATTTTCTTGCAAAAATTTTGTCATGTCTATGGAAATCTTTATATTACCTAAAAAGAAAATTTAGTTTTAAGTTTTTAAGATAATTGAAAGTATAAAAATTTTTATAAATGATAAATTGTTTTTCTTTTAACTTCCATATCAATTCTGTTGTAAATAACTTTAGATTACCTTTTATAGCAGTTTTTTTACTTTCCTGGCGTGTTCCAAAAGGATTGCAGCACTTAGTAATTTTTCTCTCAAAATATTTTCCATAGAATTTCTCATGATAACAACATATAATTCTTATTGAACTATATTTTTCTTTTAAATTTGCTCGCTACATCATTTCTTTTTGTTTTTCACAAGGAAGATCTTTAAATTGAACAAAACCTTGTTTTCTAGAAAATCCAGTTTTGTGGTAATGAATGTTAAGACTTTTTCTAATGTCACATTTCTCCATTTTAAATACTTTTATTATTTATCACCTGCCAAAAAAATATAAAATATATAAAATTCAAAGTCATTCTTTAGGAAATTACAAATAAGTAAAGTATCTTTAAAAAGAACAAAACAAAACTTATGCTTGTTTTTGATATAATAGGAGGTTTTAATTAACCAATTTGAAATAATGAAAATAAATTGTTTCTCAAACATAAACAAAAAAAAAATGTTTTTAAATTGTATTTTATGTTAAAAAAAAAGAAAAAAAAAGGGAGATGGGGGGGGGAAGGAAGTTCATCCAAGGTCCCTGGACCTCCCTTGAACCATGACTATAAATGTCCTAAACTAGTCAACAAATAACACTATTTGATGTTTTACTCAAATAAATGTTTTTAAAAATATTTTAATTGTTTTTGTTACAAAATTTAAATTTTTCTAAAAAGACACCATTTTTAAATGCAAACTTTGATCAAGTATTAGAGAGACAATTGATGAATCTACTTTTTTTCAGTAGACCTAAGATAAAATAATGATATACAATTAAATTTTTTATTCAAGATTTTGGGCCACAGTTTACCTCCAAAAATCATTAATTTACAAATCAATAATTTTAAACAAAATTGGATAAATGGGATTAAGACAATCTTAAGACAATCGAGTCTTGAGGGTGCTATTTTTGGATTCCTCCTAACTAAAACCTATTAGGGTACCAAATTCTAGGATATTTCCCCAAGCCATTATGAAGATACTTTATGTCAAAGTTGCTTTATAGTCACTTCAGAAAATTACTAAAATGCAGAGTCAGCATTATTTCAACTGATGATATCTCTGGAACCCATGTGTATTTTTGACTAAAATTTTTGCAGTTATTCTTTTTTTATTATGGACTGCAAGTGATGTAAAAATGAACAAATTCTGAAACATAAGGGTGTCAAAAATTATTATTTTTGGATGATTTCATATGGATTTACCCTTGATATTTGCTCCATAATGGGAAGTTAACTATTTCAAACAATAAAAAATGCTACATCCAACCCTGCTCATACAAATTTACTAGTAAAGTTACTATTGTTATCTAAAGAAGTCTTAATAATAAAAAAATCTATATAAAAAGTATAAAAATTTAGTCTGCATAATGGTTCTTAGTATGTTACAGTTTATGAAAAGTATGAGTTATTTAGTTTTGAGTTTAATAGTACTTAACCAATATGTGCTGCATAATGCCTAATATATATTAACTGTTTGATATTATAAATTAATTTAGCTCGACAATGAAGGTGCTCGAAAGGACCTGAAATCTTCAATTCAGAATCTAATCAAGGCGTTTGATGTGGTATGTTTATATACATTCATATATATATATATATATGTATATATGTGTGTGTTTATATATATATATATATATATATATATATATATATATATATATATATATATATATATATATATATATATATATATATATATATATATATATATATATAATGTTCTATATGTATCAAATATAATTATTTAATCATATGATAACTAAATAATAGCTATGAAAATAAATAACGCTAATAATAAATATCTTCAATAAATATTGAATTTATATTCATTTTGTAAACTCTAAACTTTTTGGTTATTTTATATATATATATATATATATATATATATATATATATATATATATATATATATATATATATATATATATATATATATATATATACACACACACAGTGCTCTTTTTCTCCTAGAACGCACCGGAATGGCGATCCGTCACCTTTTTTTTGAATTAACTTTTTTTTCTCTGTAATAAAACATTTTTTGCAGATTTGAAAACATTACAGCGCTGTATTTCAGAATCTATTGTTTCTTAGCCATAAGTAAAAACTAAATTTGGTTAAGAAGAATTAATTTTCTTCATTTCTTAATCAGTGTATCAGATTTCTTAATCTTTAATTTGTTTGTTCGAATATCAATCTCATAAGGCCTTTTTAAGTATAATGAGTTTCTTAGTTTCTAAGGCCTTTTTAAGTATAATGAGTTTCTTGCTATCAGTGTTTTAAATTCAAAGTTATAACTTAATTTATTACAATTACATTTAAAAAGTGATATAAAAGTATAAATTAAGCAAATTAAAAAAAACTTAATATGGAAAAAAAAGCTACTTGGTGACTCCCTCAGCTCAGAAAAAAATCAAATTAAGTGCAGAAGAAATCAAAATTACAACATCTGATCCACTTTCTGCTCACAATTATAGCTGGCCAAGTTGTTGGACTTAAGAACAAAAAGCAGAGTTTTATTCCAAAAACAAGTGACTTTGTTTTCGACAAAAAAGCTTAGACTTGCCAAAGAGTGAAAGCACTTGGCGTAGAAGTTAAGATAAGAATGAAAATATTGAAAGAATGATCCATATATGAAGTTTCTTAAGGCAATGATAAAAAGCAACAGTTTAGTTTACTAACTAAAAAAATAGTAATAAAATCACAAAGAATCTGCTGGATATCAAGCTTCAATAAAGAAGAAGAGCTAAAAAAGAGAATCTTTCAAACAATATTTTAAAGTCTTAAACGTGTGAGAAAATTGTAACAACAAACATTTTTTACTGTTGCAATTTATCTGCATATAAAGTTGCAAAAAGAAACCAGTTCTTTAATAACTTTGAAATGGAAATTGATCTTCAAGAAGTTAACCAAATTGAAATAGGTGGTATTTCCTATTTTTACAAATGCATACATTAATATAGTCAATCATATAGGAAATAAAATGAGAAAAAAAATTATTGCAGAAGTCATAAAATCAAAGAGTAAGGTTTCGTTAAAATTTGATGAGTCAACCACTGTAAGTCAAAAATTACCACTGATAGTGTAAATTTGATGCTGTGTAAAAGGCAGTGTAAAAAATTCACCAAATAATTTATTTTTGGATTTAGTGGAACTTAAAAGCGTTACGGATAAAAGATTATTTGATCCTTTACTTAAATGTATTTATTCTTATGGAATAAAAGAAGAATATTTGATAAATTATTTAGTTTCTGTAGCATGTGATGGTAGGATGCGAAAATAGCATTTTCAAATTAATCATTAAAAATTTTCCATCTGTTATAGTTTGGCATTGTGCTAGTCCATAGACTGGAATTATTCGTAGGCAATTATTAGGGACCATTAGGGAGATCTTTGCTTCCCTCAAAAATAGCAGAGAGTCACATTTAGTTTATTTGGTAGACATTCTACATACTATGCCCATTTCCTCAAGTGAATGCAAACGTGGATTTTCACAGATGAATCTGATCATCATACCGACAAGGACTTCATTAACCCCTTACTTCGCGGTGTTGTTGCACAACAACAGTTGAAAATTGTTGAAACTAAAGAAAAAATTTAATTTACAGACTGTACAGAAATAAAAACCACAGATGAGTCTTTAAATTTAAACTATTTTCCTGCTCTGTAGGACTATTTTTTGCATTAAATGTTTTGCAAAATGAAAAAGTGTAGTAAAGCCGTTTGTATAATTCTTAAATTCTATGTCTAAATTTACGTATATATTTTTGTCTAGAAAGTATGAGAAAAATTAAATAATATAAAATATTTATTATTATTTTATAAAGAAACTTAATTTCTTCTAAATAACAATTTACATGGGTAAAAGTGATCGAAGTCACTTTGTTGTTGTACAACATTGCGCAGATACGGTTTAAAATTTTGTAAAATTTTTTTATCGTTTAAAATGTTAAAAATCACGAAAACAAATTTATATTCTGTGCAATATTCTTTATATTCTTTAGACAAATTAATATTCTGTGCAAATGATAGGAAAATCTGTTAATACTAATCGTGATGAAATTGAACAGTTTATTGGGAAACTAATTACTATGGGCATGCTAAAATATCCACAATATAGAATGTATTGGTCTCAACACACTAGATGCGCATCAATTGCAGATGCTATGGGTTTAAAAACGATTTAAATTCTTAAAAAAATATTTTCACGCAAATGATAACACGCATATGCCAAAAAAAGGCACAGCCGAATATGATCGTTTGTATAAAGTTGGACCAATTGTGCAATTTGTTCTTGATATGTGCAGGTTAGTAGAACAAGAAGAATGTCAATCTATCAATGAACAAATTATTCCCACAAAATCAAGGTGTCCGATCAGACAATATCTTCCAAAGAAACCACACAAATGGGGCATAAAAGTCTAGGTATGATGTGGAGTCAGTGGATTGCTGTATGATTTTACTATCTATCTTGGCAAGGAAGAAAATACAGATATTTCTAAAGAATATGGTAAAGTTGGAGCAGCAGTGCTTAAGCTTGTTGCACATTGTCAAAAAATATTGGACATAAAATCTTCATGTATAACCTTTTTACAAGCATAAAATTGTTTAACACTCTTAAGAATCTTGGAATATGGGCTGTCAGAACCATTCGTAATAACCGCTTGCATGGTGCTGAAAAAGTAATATCTAAAAAAAAAAGAACTAGAAAAAATGGGACGTGGCTCATTAGATTACCGAGTCGATTTTAATTCAAACATAACAGTTATACGTTGGATGGACAATGGTGTCGTATAACTAGCATCTAGATTTATTGGTCCATCATTGGAAGATTAAATTGATTGTTGGTCTAGCAAAGACAAAGTTATTGTGAAAGTTTCCTAGATTTTCCCAGAAACTCGCCCAGATATGGTACATCAGTATAATAAGCATATGTATGGGATTGACTTATGTGATATATTGATGGTATTGTATAGAATTAAGCTAGGTACAAAAAAATGGTATATGCATATAGTTTATTACTGTATGAATTTAGCAATAGTGAATGGTTGAATTTTGTATAAAAGACAAATCAGGAAAAACATCATTCAACTATTTGAGTTCCAAACATGTATCGCAGATTCTTTGTTACATGATAAAATACACCTGTTGTCAAACAAAAACGCTGCTCAGTAAATGCTCCCGCTAGGGAAATCTGCTTAGACAATGTTGGTCACTTACCAAACTTTTCTGAAAAGCAGCAATCATGCAAACATTGTAAGTCTGGATATAGTCGTATTTTTTGTGAAAAATTCAAAGTCCACTTGTGTTTGGTTACCTCTCACAATTGTTATTCTAATTTCCACAACGAGTTTTGAACATTTGAATGGGAATTTATATATTTTTGAATATACATTAATATTTATATTGGGGGCCATCCATAAAGGGCGTCACTATTTTTTAGGCAATTTTTAAACACCTCACCCCCCCCCCTCCTTTGTCACCGGTTGTTTTTTTTCCCTATACCCCTTTCCCTCAAAAAAGGACACTGACACTGCTGCTACAACTTTGAAAAATAAAATTAAAAATGTTCTCTCACATTATCTTCATAAAAACACATGTTTACATAGTTTTCCATGTAAAAAAAAATTTAAGTGACGTCATTTTCTAACAACCTCCCCCCTCCCCCTGTCCCTTTTATTTTGACCCCCTCCCTCCTTATTAGGATTAAGTCTTTTATTGATAGCCCCTTGATATCTATTTGTTTTTCACTTGATTTTATTCCAAAAATTACTTTTAAAATTTGTGTTGTTTTTATACCCAGTTTTCGCAATGTTGTTTACAACAACATGTCCATATCTATCAAATAAATCATGAAAGTATATATTTTTTGAGGGACATGAAATAGAATACCATAGAGGTAAAAAAAAAAAACACTAAATAATTTTTTTATTTTGGTTTGATTTGATGAGACCACCGCTAACAAGCTTCGATTCTTCAAAGTCCGTTGATTCGTAGTTAGTTAGTGGAAGGCATTCAGCAGTAGACACTAAGAACAAGAAAAGAAGACGAGCGGAAAATTTCTAACAAAAATTGGAAAAAACAATGGGATTTGTAATAAAAGTTTCTTGCTTTGTAAAGTTTGTATTTTGTATACAGTGACGTGTCCTATCATCCTCAATCCTTCCCTCCCCCCTTCCTTCCCCCTAAAAAAAAACAAAAAGCTTTTCATTATTTTAAGAAAAAAGCTTTTTACATTGGAAAATGGCTACATTTATTTGTTCCCATTTTATTATGTATGAATTGAATTGCTTATTTCTCCCTTGTCTTTGATATATTGATACATATAAAGAAAAACACTGGTGAGTTCCGGCACATTTTTTTTTAGAAAAAAAGCACTGTATATATTTTTTTTCACCCCCAACAAAGATTCAAGCATGTATTACTTCAAAAGAACTTTACATGATAATAAATTGATAAACAACAAAAAATTTATTTGTGAATAGAATTCTCTTAAACAAAAACATTTCTTCCTTTTTATAAGAAAAACAAGTTTTTAATTTGCTTTCCCATATTATAATTTATG